TATGCATGCATATGTTTATCACAGCACACATAAATGTATAATATGTGTAAAACGTAATATATATATAAATATAAGTATAAATATATATATATATATATATTTAATATTTATATTTATAAATACATACGTGTATATGTTTGTTTATATGTTTATGTGCAAGTATAGATAAGATAAATGTAAAGATTATAAATGTTATATTGTGCTCATTACTCGTTGCTTTTATTGTATATAAATATACATATATATATATTATGTATATAATTTGGTGTAGGTATATGAATATAAATATATAAATATAAATGTATATAATGTTGTCGTTGTATATTATATTATATGTAATTAGCATATTATATATATATATATGTATATATATTATAGACTGTATATATAATAGATTATATATATATTAATATATAATATATATATTTGTAGATATTTATTTATTTATATATTTATTTCGTCTTTCCTCATTTGTTATCTTCATGCAGAAATAAATACATTTAGATTGTATTGTTTGTATTTGTTTGTTTGTTTATATATTTGTTTGTTTGTTTATTTATTTGTTTGTTTGTTTTGTTTGTTTGCTTGTTTGTTTATTTGTTTACTTGTTCATTTGTTTATTTGTTTATTTATTTGTTTATTTGTTTATTTGTTTATTTGTTTATTTATTTGTTTATTTATTTGTTTATTTGTTTGTTTATTTGTTTATTTGTTTGTTTGTTTGTTTATTTGTTTGTTTGCTACACAGTCTGCATGCACTGAAAACCCTTTCATTTTCTAAACCCTAAACCCTAAACCCTAAATTACGGTGTCTGTACACCTGAAAAAATAGAATAAATAGATAAACAAATAAATAAATAAATAAACGCCTTTGCATCTCCTGCCGAAGGCTCTTTGTTTCTTTTTTTGTGTATTTATGCTGAGTATAAACTTCAAATATTCTTCAATAAAAATTAAAGAGGCAAAGGGTTTTGTCTGTATATACACTCCAATTCGCGCAGAGGATTAAGAAATGCATTTAGAGTATATAGAAGTAACAGAGACAGAAAACAGCAAAAAAGAGATATCTTTGTTCACAGTCAGGTGTACGTACACCCGAATTAAAGGCAACAGATATTCTTTGGTGTGCATGCAGCTCTCTATTTTAGCTATAAATTCATTTGTTTCCGGGAGACAAAACATAAACATGCAGAGTAATAAAGAATAACAGACAGACAAGTTATTCAAATGCAGAGTCAAAGAAAGCAAACGGTCTTTCTTTATTATACGAGAAGGAAGCTATATTTTAAGTGTACATACACCTCAACGTACAACAGCATTTCAACAGATATAAACACAAACAAAAGAAACTCCGCACTTGCCTCTATTACTCTCCTCTTAGAATGTATGCATTTAGTGCTCATGCATGCATTTCAGGTGTTCATACGGCTGGTTGCAACTTCTTGGGGAACAGCTTCCACATATCGGTGTTTGTATAAGACAACTGCTTTCATTTGAAGGCTCTCTTCAACTGCACAATATCTTTGCTAATAGGAATTTAACAAGGAAGAACAGCCCTCAATATACATATATATATATATACGGCTCTGTAAGTCAAATGAATTAAAACGATTTTATCTACTGTTTATCTATGGTTGTGAACGAGATGAGAAAAAGGGGTAATTAATTCTCTCCTTGCATTTGTAATGTCTGTGGTGTACATACACCACAAATCAGTTAAGGGGACCAGAAACCTCAGCGGGGAGAAAAAGAAAATCTTTCGTATATTTTTTGCTCCAAGAGAGGAAATTCGCCTTTAAAATATTTCTGAACGAATTTAAAGTAAAATATTTAATAGAATCTTCATCGCAGCGCCGCCAACACCACCACCGCCCTGCTTCCCTGATTTTTGCTTTTTCTTTTCATCATTTTGAGGTGAATTCCAGAAAAAAGCGTTAAAATATGTAATGTTAATTCAATTTAATGCATTGAATTAATTTTAATTGAGTTTCTCCCCGTCCGTGAAGAAGAGGAAAGCTGCGGTATGCCTCTGGGCGATCGCCGTCGGCTGCATGGACCTTCGGGTGTATAGGCAACTCAGATGAATATAATTTGCATACGAAATCGGTCGTTGCAGATAGGTTTAAAAGTTTATTTTATTGATTTTTTCTTGATTAAAATTGTTTGTTTCAAGAATATAATTAATTTAAATGCATAAAAACGAGGTGGTCTTCGTGATATTTGATATTTGCCACCCATCTCACCACCCCCCTCCGTCAGCGGAAGAAAGCCCCAGTCGTTGGATTCAACTTCAAGTTTTTTGTTTGGAATTCTTTCCAAAGTTTGTGTTTTTCTTTTTAAAACACTGGGAAGTATTATTTAATTGCATTTTCTCTCTCTTCAGCGCCTTTGAACAGACCTGCTTTCTGTACACCAACGCCACCAACAAGAGAGAGGAGGGGAAACTGCGTATTCTTCTTGCAAGAGTTCTCTAGTTAAAAGTGAATTAAAATATCTTGAAATTGTTTTTAAAGTGATAATATGCTGTTTGTAATACGCAATTCCTGCGGAGTGTTGCGGTGTATGTACAGCTTTCTCTCGATATTGTATCTAAACAAAGCTGTAGTCCCTCAGTGTATATATCTCTATGTCTTTCTTTCTGTCTTTTTGTCTGTCTATGTGTTTATTTTATTTTGTTTTATTTTGCTTTGTTTTTGTGTTTTGTTTTGTTGTGTTTCAGGCATAATTAATTCCTTTTAACGCGGCATCCCCTTCTTTCTCTTGAATTCACATATTTTATTATTCTTTTTATATCTTTTCTTTTTCTCTTCTTTTCTATTTTTCTTAGCTATTTCTCATAGAAGTCTGCACTACATTATTTTATCTATATATTTGCTTTTGAACTTAATTTCATTTCCTTTCTTTTCTTTCTTTTCTTCTTTCTTTTCTTCTTTCTTTTCTTTCTTTTTTCTCCTGGAAGATGTTTGAATGCAGCATCGACGGCTTAACGCTAAAGCGTTTCTTTGAAGCTTTAAAAGATACTTGTGTAGAGACAAACTTTATCTGCGACTCTGATGGTTGCACAATGCAAGCAATGGATGAAAGCCACGTAGCCTTAGTTAGTACGACTTGGTGCATGGATCTTTTTCATAAATATCGGTGCGATTCCCAGGTTACGCTCGGTAAGCTAATTTATTTCTAAATATTTATATTCAATTACCTGCTTCTTTCTTTTTTTAATATATTTCTTTGCCTTTTTATCTACATCTCTGCAGATAGAGAAAAGAAAATAAATGTGTTTTCTTTGCTGTTTCTTTTTATGTACCTTTCTCTTTATATATATATATATATATATTTATTTATTTATAATATACATATATACATATGTATATCTCTTTTTGTCGTTCTTTTTATATTTCTTTTTGTATTTCTTCTATATTTCTTTTCTCACTCTTTTATACCTCTTATTTATTCTTTCTGTATCTCTTTCTATTTTTATTTGTCTTTCTCTGTTTATATCTTCTCCTGCTGCTTCTCTTTAGGAATTTTATTTTTATTTATATTTTCTTCTTTGTTTTATATTTTATATCTTTCTGGCGGCTTATGTAGTTTAGCTTTTCGTTTATTTGTGTCTGCTTGAATATTTGTATTTGTTTACTGTTTATATAAAGTATATATATATTAATCTATATTTTTATATTTATATTGGGGTGTATGTGCAGCTGCATCTTCATTTGCGGTGTATATGCAGGTAGAATATTCTAGAGAGTGTTATTATGATATTTTTTCTGCATTTGTTTGTAGGCCTGTCCGTCGCTACGATATTAAAGGCAATTCAACCTGTAAAATCAAATAAACATATTGTACATCTCTCTACTTTAAAAGGCTCAGATGAAGATGAAGAAGTGCTGCACATTGCTATTGAAGACCCAGAGAGAAAAGGTGTGTTTAATTGCATGCATTCAAATATAATTTTTATGTGTTTAATTGCATGCATTCAATATAATTTTTATTTCCTTACATTCTATAGTTTTACTCCCTAGGGTTTAGCGTTTAGTTTCGTTTTCTGTTTATTTATTGTTTATTGTTTATTGTTTATTGTTTAGGGTTTAAGGTTTAGGGTTTAGGGTTTAGGGTTTAGGGTTTAGGGTTTAGGGTTTAGGGTCTAGGGTTGGGAGTGGCTTTCTCGTCTCGTTGTTTGTTATACTCTCTTCCCTTTAACAAACACTAGGGGCTTTATCTTTATTGTTTATATTTTTTGTTTTTTGTTTATTCTTTATTATTGCTTGTTCCTTACAATTTGTTCGCCTATATATTATATACATTTTTATTATTTATTTATTTGTCTATTAATATAATAATAAATGCGTAAATTACGAATAAATAAACAAAATTAAACAAACAAAATCCCTAGAAATAATAAATGAAATGAACACTAATAAAAAATAAATAATAATAATAGATTAAATGATATAAATAATAACAATAATAATAATAATAATAATAAATTAAATAAACATTTACTGTTTATTATCTACAGACAACTGGCACATGGAGATATCCCTCCTTACAGTTGCTGAAGAACGGCTTCAAGTCCCAAACGAACCCTATGCATGTCTCTGCACTGTGGACGCTAAAGAGTTTCAAGAGCTGCTTCGTTATATTCACTCTATTGCCGAGAGCGGTATATATATATATATATATTTATTTATTTGTTTGTTTATTTGTTTATTTGTTTGTTTGTTTGTTTATTTGTTTATTTACATGTGTAGATGAGAAGGAAATCAAAATATGTATGTTTATATAATGTATATTTATGTGCATATACGCAAATATCAAGAAATATATGTAAATATATATATATATAATATAATATATATATATATGCATTAATATATATATATATATTTATATTTACATATATATTTATATTACACAGATATGGATGGCCAGGGATTAGGGTTTAGGGTTTGTAAATTGAATGAATATTTGAAGTAGCATTGTTATGTGGATATATATATATATATATATTATATATATATATATTATATATATATATATATTATATAGTGTAAAATATATTATTATATATGATATTTTATGTTTAAATTTAATTAAATAAAACTTTAATTAGTTTTGAATTTATTGTGCTGCATTTTGATTTGCAGTTCGCATTCGCTGCGAAAAGGATTCATTAATACTCTCAGCAAAGGGAGAAAACCTCGCCGTCACGAGAGTCATACATGCCCCAGTAAACCCTAAACCCTAAACCCTAAACCCTTGCAAACCCTAAACCCTAAACCCTTGCAAACCCTAAACCCTTGTACCACTTGCAAACCCTAAACCCTTATACCACTTGCAAACCCTAAACCCTTGTAGCACTTGTAAACGCTGAACCCTTGTCACGCTTGCAAACCCTAAACCCTAAACCCTTATACCACTTGTAAACCCTACACCCTAAACCCTTATAGAGCTTGCAAACACTAAACCCTAAACCCTTATATCCCTTATAAGGATTTGGAAGGCGCTTTGGGGCTCTCTTTCTGCATGCATGCCCATTTATTTATTTATTTATTAATTTATTTATATCTGTTTGTATCTTTGGTTGTTTGTGCTAACAGTACTGAATAAGTGTGCGTTCGTTCGATTGAATATTACTTCGTAATTAATTAATTAATTAATTAATTAATACTTAATTAATTAGTGCGTAGATAAGTAAACAAATAAATTATTAAATAAATTAATAGATGAATGATTGAATTAATGAATAAAGGGTTGAATTATGTTTGTGCTTTGCGGTGTATACGCAGGATATGCAGTGCAGCGAATCCTTTGAACAAGATTTCGCAGTTCGTTATCTATCAAACTTTGTTAAGGGCGCCAGTCTTTGTGAAAGATTAGAAGTAGCACTAAGTAGAAATACTCCAATGCGATTTACCTTTCCTCTTCCTTCTGCAGGGCAGCAGCAGCAATCTGCTGCTGCTGCTGCTGCTCTTATGTCTGTTGATTCAGAAGAAGTAAGTGCTCTGCGCTTCTATGTAGCACCAAAGATAGATGAAGATTAATTCAAAACTAATATATAATTATCACTCAATTAATCATAGTATACTTCAATGACCATCATTATATATAACTGCTTAGCAGATACCCGTCCGCATTAATATATATATATATATATATATATTGTATATTGGATTGTATATATTTATAGATATCAATACGAATATAATACAAAATATATATGTATATATATACATATATATACATATATATTTATTATATGTAGATATATATATATATATTATATATATTTATATATATTTACATATACATGCTGCCGTGCATTGAACGGGTCTCCCAGCTGCCCCTGGAGGCAGAAGACAGTGTAAGAAATGCATTTAATTTTGTTTTCCTGATCAAGATAAATGCTGATTTATAAAGTGATAAATTTGCATTTATCTTCAATATTTGCTGCTTATACACCTGAACGGGTTGAGGTGTACGTACACCTCAACTGAGGAGGAGATATAAATAAATAAAACAGCAACTGGATTTTGTATAATAAACATTTTCTTGAAATTTTGCAAAATAGAAGAGGAAAATTTCCCGCGTTTTTGTTTAGTTTAATAAAAATGAATAAAAACATCTCTGGCCTTCAAATTAATATAACTTTCTCTCTATTTTCAGGTGTATGCACATACACCCCAACAGAAAGAGAGTGATGCATTTACCTAATATACTAAAAACGCGGAAATAAATGAATATAGATAAATAAATAAATAGAGATAATGTTTTAATTGATATATTGTTTAGATAGATTTTTTAAATACATTTTTAAATATATTTTTTAAATATTCTTTTTTAAATATCTTTTACCTGATCGCAGACACCTGAATTGTTTGGCGTATTATTACACCTCCTCGACTTTGTGCAGTGTATTACAAATAACACAGCACAGCCGCCCCCAATATATATATATATATATATATATATATATATAATATATATATAAACAAACAAAGAAACTAACAAAGAAAGAAGCAAACAAGCAAAGAGGAATAATACTAAAGTTAAGTGCTGCTTTAAGGAGAAGGCGGCAAAATAAAATCAAAAGCGTGATCAACGCAAGAGCGTCTTTGTCCTTTGCTTTTCTCGCCTGGTTCTGCTCCCGTTAGGTTCTGAAGATTAAAAATAAAAAATAAACAAATACAAAAGAATTAACACAAACAATAATATCATTCTATGCACGTCTTTGAATCATACTGCAAATCAAGTGATATATATATATATATATATATATATTATATGTATGTATATATATATTATACATATGAATACATATATAGGCATATATATTTGTACATATACATACCCATATGCATACACATATAAATACATAAATAAATAAATAAATAAATAAATAAATAAATAAATAAATAAATATGATAAAAAATAAATTATTTTTGTCTTACAAGTAGAGTGGAGGTTTGAAGATGGCCGGATTTAGAAGAGAGGTTTGCA